GGAATATCTCCACGGCGAGTCATATTGCATGAAACGGTCAGGCGATGTGAGGTCATGCTCAGTAGGAGTTTGAGCTCCAGTTCTGAACTGATTTTACTAGTAATCTCAATGGCCTTAGTGATTCGTATGTTCACACTTCACCACTGCCATCGCCAGGCATCACGGTACGGCGACTGAATCATCGAATATTCAATGGTAATCTGCTCTCCGCCAGCTACCATCGGCCCTGTTTCAGGCCGTTTTGCACTTTTTTCGTCGCCACTTAAATCTTTAAACTCACGTCTTGTCTCCTACGAGACATAGCACTGTCTGAGCAGAGAGATGGGGTAAGCACTTTCACGCAATACTACCCCCCAACCCAATTTGATCGCATTCAACGCACTTCAATTGACAACTTTTGTACTGGTTGATGACTCTTTAGTTCATTACACGTCTATCGACACATTTGGCGCTTTTTTTTGCTACTATCGCACAAACACCGTGAACGAGGCCGATCGACATGACTGCTATCTGAGTGAATGGTAGGGGTGATGAAGCAGCAAAATTTCCCCCCGTAGAAGTTTTGATAATGACGTCTTGTTAATGACTGCTTATCAGCTTACACGAATTCTCTCCTATTATTTTTGTACTGACTCATTATTCCCTTGTTGTTTAGAGGCAGCCGGCTGCTTTCAGTACTGACACCGTCCTATCCGCGTAATTTAAGCTTATTCCTGTATTTTCTAGACTGTTTATTTGCCTATTGTTTGTTTATCACTTTGTTTGTCCAAATGTGCGCGGTCTTCCCAATTATTGATCGCTTTTTCAATAATCATTCCTTTTCAATGACCTTGTTGGGCGATCTTCAAGACCACCCACATTGTTGGAAGTTGCGAAAATCCCCATAGATCATCTGGTGATCACAATCAATATAGTCGCGCTTTTTTTAATAATCACACTTTTCAAGTAACTTGTTGGGCGGTTGTATAGGACCACCCACATTGTTGGAAGCTCCAAGACTTCCACGCAGATCATCTTGTGATCTACGGATAGATCAATATAGTCATCATACATGTGGTTGGCGGTCTTTATTGGTGCTAACTTTGGCACTTTTCTTCCTTTTTCTTCATTCCAGTGTCTTCCTGAACCACCCACCTTGTCGAAATATACACTATCTTTTACTTTTGATCTAGGATCAATATTGTCGTTATCCTATTAATTGGTGCTGAATCTGGTGGTTCTCTTCCATTTTTTTCATTCGAGTGTTTTCTTGACAGACCACCCACATTGTCAAGGATTCTAGGAGCCTCTAAAGAGCATCTGATAACTTTGATCTAGAATCAATAAAGTCGTTATAGTCTTTAATCGTGTTCAGTTTGTTAGTGTTCCTCGTTTTTTCTTCATTCGAATGTCTTCTTGCCAGACCACCCACATTGCCAGAAATTGTGGGAGCCTCTGCAGATCTTCTGTTCTTTTGATGTGGGATCAATATAGTAATTATCATCTTCGTTGGTGCGGTCTAATTCGATAGTTTTCTTTTCTTTTTTCTTAATTCGAGCGTCTTCTTGACGGACCACCCAGTTTGTCGGGAATTTTAGGAGCCTCTATAGATGATCTATTTTGATCTGGGATCAATATAATCATTATCGACGCGTAGTGAACGTTCATTATTGGTGCCGAATTCGATAGTTTTGTACTTTTTTTTTCTTCTTTAGTCGAGTGAAGTGTAGTGTACTCGGAACCACTTGGCAATGTATCGGTCGTCAGGTGGTTCGGCTGTGTTCGTTCGGGAGAGATGTCCGCTCATAGGCGTTGTTCAGGTGTTTCGTTATCAATTCAAGTGTTCGACGGAGTGGGGGGCTCTCTTGCGCGCTCTCTCTTCTTCGTCTCCTTTCCGTTTTGAACATGGGTGGTATTTATAACAGGATTCATTCTCTCTTTCGGTGGGGTGGTATTTTTTTTTCTTTTTCGCTCTCATATCCTCTTTCTCTTTCTCCCTCTCCCTCTCTCTTTTACTTACGTTTGCTCTGCGTTCTGATAATGGGAGTAACCTTGTGCGCGGTGACGGAGGCGACGCTGCTGACCACACGCCATGCCGACGCACCTCGCACACTTTCATTATCCTTTCATCCATCGTTTCCTTCTCCTGTGCCCTTGTCAGTCGTTTTTCCTACACTCCATATGGCGGCTTCATCCTAGTCTGTTTTTAATGGTTCTAAGGTCGTTCATTCTCTACCCCACTCGCATAACTGCAAAAGAGCTTGAGCTTTTTTCGTGAGCATGAGCTCGTCATGACGTTGTAACAGTCGGTACCCACGATGAATCATAACACGCATAAGCCGTGTGCATGATGCCAATCGTGCAAATATGGGCATCATCGCTTTCGATGTTTTTTTAAGCGCTCAACTGCGATGAGGGGGGCGCAGGAAGGAAAGGTGATGGTAGTGGTGGGGGAGAGGGCTCATGCCAGCGTCGGCCATTGAACAACGCGACCTCGACAGCACCAGAGGAGGTCTCGCCACCTCATCGCTATTCATTTCTGTCAGTTCGATCGCTTGAAATTGTCCCGCATTCCATAGATAAGCGACAAAAAACGCCCGTTTTCGGCTACTTTGTTCGCAAAAATTGAATGCACCCGCATTTGAAGGTGCTTATACAAGTTTGCTGGCATAGTTTATGGATTCGATTGATTCAACGGAAGCTTGTACTTACGCAATAAGCGTGCTGTGTGTCCTTTCTGTGTATATGTACTGTTCGGCGATGTAGCGCTAGAACAGAAAGTTTAAGTGTATTTCACGTGCAAAATACAACACTTTGAATAGATTGTAGAACAAACAGGGTAGACTAGTGTGAGATATAGGGGGGAAATCAGACCGAAATGAGCGTAGGGGGTATAGTATGGGGGCGATTTCTGGTTATTCGGTTCGCCGCACCCATCTCTAATGGTCAGTCAACTGGTCGATGCATGTCGCGCTGAGTCATCCCCCGAGCCTTTTGTTCCCGCCTTTGCGTCTTGTTACCCCCCAATCGCCCCCTCCTCTCCTTTTCCACCCACACCCTCCTGCTAACCCCCTCATCGTTTCACTCATTCGTACACTTTCGTACGATTTCCGTACAACGATCAACTCGAATTGTATTTGATAGTCACGGAAAACAGACCGAATATGTGCGATCATGGTTGAACATTCATTTGCTCCCATGTTTACACGGTGACTTTGTGTTGATAGTTCTTGTTGAGAAGTTGGCGCCGAACAACGTTTGCCATTCACCAAGCTATCCCCCAGTCCTTCCCTCGTCTCACTCACTACTCAAGAGCACTGAACGAACCCGATTTTTTCCCCGTTCATTGTCCTCATGAGTCAATACGCGAGATGAGAGACCAGGGGTTACACGGTAATTGACCCACACGACTACATGACTTATAAGGTTTGTGGGAGAATATGCAATAGTAGGTACGTCCCTTGTCGTGCTGGTTGGTTGGCCTTTTTTCGCTATTCCCTCAGCGATCACTCGTTCGCTCGCTCAGGAATGCAATCTGTCAAGGTCGTCCTCTCTTGTCGTTTTTAGCGTCGCTCTCGTAATTACTAAGTTTGAAAAAATATCATCGACATTTGCGAAGTTTATGGTTGGCTGATGCCAGGTACCAGTCGAGTCGTCGTGTGTGTGTGTATGTGTGTCGTCAATGTTTGTGATTGGTGTTCTTGAATTGAAAACGAATGTTGATTGGTTGATGATTCAAGTGTGTCAATGGTGGCACAGTGAAAAATAGTAGCGTGTTGCGAATGATCCGTTGTAGCTGTGTTGAAGCCGTTTTGCTGAATATTCGCCTACAATAAAGCGGTCGGAATTCGCAATGACTAACCACGTGATTGATGCATATTTTGACGGAGCGCAGACGAACAGTCATCGTGGCATGTCGACGGGATGGTCGATGGATTTCATTTTCTACGAAGTCAATCGAGTATTCGTCGAGCTTCTGGTATGGCTGATGTCGGCTCGGCTCAGCTCCGGTGCCTGCCAATCTCGAACTTAAAGACACATTGCGCGATTATCTGGGTGTAATCCTGTGTAGGTGATCTGGTGCGCAATCTCGGACATTCTTCCGTCGTCTCAGGATATCTTCTAAACGCGGAGCCTTCCCCTTCCTTTTTCCCTTCTTCCTTCTTTTCCTTCCTTCCTTCTCTCTTCTCTCATCCTGATTTTCCTCCCTTCAAGTGCTTAGCCAGAATATGTGTTGAGATTATACCTTTGGACTGTCGCACTTAGAGTATCCCATTGACAGAAGCCCTGTTTACCTCACTTTCATGGTTTGACGGTGGATGGCGAGAGCGCTGAGCGGTCGTCACAGGCCGGTAGAACGCTACCCGTAAAAAGGTTTCATCCATCTTGGGGCAGGATATGCCAGTAGTCCTACATAATTCTGTAAGACAGTTCGACACCTTGTGTTCATTCTGTGTAGGACCGACCTTTGCCGCCTCGTTAGTCCTCTTGTTCTCATGTTTTGTTTCTAGTCTCACACTCGTAACAGTGTCTCGCACTTTCGAATGCCTGTCCAGTCTTTGAGGTCTTATTTTGGGGCCTTATTGCGGGGCCTTCGACGGCTTTTCTTCACTGATAACTCGACTCCTATCTACAAATTTATATTTGACCACTCAACGCTCGCTATTATAATCTCGAAATGTGCCCCTAACAATAAGACTAGTGGTGGATACTATAGCGCCCGAGATATGTGCATATATTCAACGCAGTTTACTTAACACTAAGCGCTGTAAAATTGTTACCAGTTTTTCTAACTGCCTCAAAATAACAGTGTGTTGGCGAATACTTCAACATTACTACTCGACGTTGTTTTCCAGCCATTTCTCAGTTTATTTCTCGGGCTCTTCTGCTCGGATGACTGGCTTTCTTTCATATGCTTTTATCCACATCCTACTATCGGTCGTATTTCATTTTTTCATGTGTGCAAATTTGCTTGCCTTTCATTTTTGATGTTGAAGCTCGTCGTTCAATGAGATGTTATCATGAACTGGAAAAAGCAGTTCAAATTTTCTTCCTTACAGCCGCACATGGAGGAGTCGGGCCTTCGCTTTCTGCAGGTGCAGAGAGCGGCCGTCGCCGACCCAGCACGAGCCTCCGAGTGGGCTGGAAAGAAACTCTGCTGGGTACCTCATGAGAAGGACGGTTTCGTGGCCGGATCCATCAAGTATTTAAATCATACTCTGTCTCCTCTAAATACAGTTTAAAATAACCCAAATATTCAGAAAAGAAACGAACGATGAGGTAATCGTCGAAATTTGCGATACCGGTAAGACGGTCACGATCAGTAAAGATGACGTCCAGAAAGCCAATCCTCCCAAATTTGACAAGGTGCGCTAGGTTGAAGAGTTTCTCGGGATTCAGTGTAATATGCCAGGTTAATTAGTTCCTGTGTTTATAACGGACCATTTTGTGAGGCTCAAGCAAGCTAGCCCAGGGGTGAAGTACTGGCAGCTCCTGTTTAAGAATGGATAAACTTGTTTCTTGTGAGGCGGTAGTATTGAAAAGGTGAAGCTGAAACTCGTACTTCAAGAGGAGTTCATAGGACTTGATACAAACGTAGTTGACCCGGCTCCAGCTAGTTGTGCACTGCGAGGCGACTCTGGTCGTCTGCGCTCTGCGAGGCCTGAGCCACATGAAACAACAAGAATAAGACGAAAAATTACGAAGAAAGAGGGAAAAGAAAAAGAGGGATGAAAAGGCTAGGGAAAGGAACACAGACATGCCATCGCGTGGACCTTCTCAACCACGGGTGCCTTCGGGACTTCCTAAAATGGTCCGGTTTGCTGCAAGGGGTTAAAAGAGGGCCTGGCATGTTTCACTTGTACCCTTCACTATTTTCCGAAGAAAATTCTATCTTTTAAAGGTGGAGGATATGTCCGAATTAACATACCTTAACGAGGCGTCCGTCCTGCACAATCTCAAGGAGCGTTACTTTAGTTCTCTTATTTATGTAAGTTCAAAAGTTTTTTGTAGTTATCAAGTTTGAATGAGCTAAGAAGTACATCTCCAGACGTATTCGGGTCTTTTCTGCGTGGTGATCAATCCATACAAACGACTGCCCATTTATTCGGAAAGTTTAATTGAAGAATTCAAAGGGAAAAAGAGGCACGAAATGCCACCTCACATATTCGCCATTGCCGATTCGGCATATCGTTCAATGCTTCAAGGTAAGAATTCGTACTTGTTACTGTTTTTTTTTGTATAGTTCGCGAGGTGGCGTTTACTTATATAGATATACATATGTCCTGTTTGATATATGAGGTCCACGTATGACTTCCGAATGTTTCTGCGGGACCTCTCCGGAAATTCCTAGTTGCAGTACTGAGTTCATGCCCACGAAAATCGGATAATTCTCATTTCTTACACATGTTTTAATACTATTGAGGGGTTTTTCTTCCGACCTACCGGAGTTTGTATCTATGCTGGCGAGACCATCAAATTTCAATTCGCTCTATCTACAAGCCAGTTTTCTCAGGGTAAAGATACAGCATAGAGGTGGACTCAGTGCTTGGTTGGCCGCTGTGGGGTATATGGTCGAACATTGCTCCGAGCTAAACAGGCTGTGCATGTAAAATTGCATTTTTTCAGATCGCGAAGACCAATCTATTCTTTGCACGTGAGTTTTTGAATGTAGTGTTTGGTGTTGCCAATCCATCTTCTGTCGTGATGAGTCATTATGGAGGAATGAACGAAAAATTACTGAAATTCAGGGGAGAATCTGGTGCTGGAAAGACCGAGAACACTACACAAAGAAGGTCATTCAGTACTTAGCTCATGTAGCCGGTGCAACTCGATCAAAAGGAGGACCACAAGCAGCCGCTTCACCTGCAAAAGTAGGAACAGGGTCATGGAACTGAAGCTGTTCTGAAAATAAGCTTGAACAAGGCAGCCTTATTTTATTACTTGTTGAGACCTTGCGCTTGCAGTTTTTTTTTTTCTTTTCCCTTGGATATTAGTTTTCACATAGAAGCTCTGTACGGGACCCAGGTTTCGTGTTGTCTATTTCGTTGTTTCTTCAGGGCTGAAAGTTCGCTCAAAGCTCAAAAATGTGATTGTAACTTTAGTCGAGGGCTCAAATTGGAGCTTCGGGCTATCTTGATGGTCGAAACATAGGGCCAAGGAAAGGTTCCGAATAAGTCGGTTGGCAGGATAAGCGAGAACAGCGGTTTGAAAGAGTTAGGGAAGAATGCCTCGCAGAGCTATCCAGCTAATGGGTCCTCCAGGATTGACACCGAACTAGGAACCGTCCAAAGTGGTCTCACTGCTGACTTAGGGAGGGGGTGTTGAGGGTCGGACTGTTTTGCGGTGAGCAGCCCTCCTTGAAGTAAGATGATCTGTATTGATCTCGAACTCAGTAGGGCTCCCGAGGCGTTTGCTAGGGTAACCTAGCTTGCTCCGGCGCTTTCAGGCTCTGGAGCAGGCCGAGATTTAGGCCAATAAAGTCGTCTCAGTATATTCATCGACCGCAGAGCCTCCATTCTTCCTATTTCCTTCAGCTTTCCTTCTTTTCCTCCATTCTTTCTTTCTTCCCTCTTCTTTGGTCTCTTCCTTTCGAATGCTCGATCAAGAGATGCAAAGAACAAACGCCTCTGGACCCTCTCGGCAAGGGAATATCCAGTTTGCAGAAGCCCTGTAACCCAATGAAGTTGATTTACCAACCTTGTGTGGATTTGAAACGAGGCCTCTCATAATAAAAAATGACTGGATTTTTCCGCTTCGTTGCCGCAGTGTGCCGTGCCGTCGTGCACGAAGCGATAGACGCAGAAATCATTGTCTCTGCTCTTCTGATGTCTGTTCAAGCTTGTTTGAGAAACAGCTGTAGTTCTCCTTCTTTTTGCACTACAGTTTCAAATGCGATGAAACAGCTAACTGATCGTTATGCTTTTCTAGCACGACATTTATCGGAATTCTATCGTAAGTTTACTATGTATGAGTGACATATGTTTGTGTACGTACAGTTGTTATTGTTACCTGTTGTTTCTTTTTTGTTAGTATTTTTGTTACTCACCTGAGTGATCTGTCGTCGAAAAGTCATTGAAAGTATTCTAACCCCTATGCTCTCACAGGAGGCTTGTTCTAGAAGTCTTCCCTACGATTTGATAATGCGCACAGAACACCATTTTGTAGGAATTGTTTCAGTTTTGTTATTTTAAAGTGTTACATAATTTAGGGTGAATTAGAACATCAACTATTACAAGCGAATCCTATTTTGGAAGCATTCGGTAACAGTAAAACCGTGAAGAATGACAATTCGTCACGTTTTGTAAGTATTTACAGTAGTTGCTTAAGATTTGTGTCTATCTGTGAAGTATGGCCGTTTTCAGGGTAAATTCATTCGCATCAATTTCGATATGTCCGGGTATATATCAGGAGCGAATATTGAATTTTATTTGCTTGAAAAATCCCGAACCCTACGACAAGCACCAGAGGAACGAAGTTTTCACGTTTTCTACCAGTTTTTGCGTGGTTCAACCCCTGCCGAAAAAGGTACGGTCTGTCCCATGGTTTTTTTTTGGATGTAGATTTCTATCAACGAATTTTCGAGATGGTTTTGGTTTTTCTTTTCCAAAGTGGCGGTTGATGGAACGTCCTGCAAATCTTTTTTTTATTTCACACGTATCGAGATAAGACCGCATTCATACATGACTACTTTGAAGAAATGACGGAACTGCCGGTTGAAGAAAATATATGTATCGATTTGAATAACCGCAGAATTGGGAGAAGTGCAGAAATGCCGAAGTGATGGACAAAGCCTTGATAGGGAGTGATCGCTTAGCCCGGCCATATGGAAAAAAAACGCCGATTTTGCAAAATTTCGGCGTTACTGAACATTCCGCATTTCTTCCAATTCCGTGGTTCTTCAAATCGATACGTATACTTTCTTCTGTCTGTGGTTTCGTCATTTCTTCAACTCGATACCTATACTTTCTTCTGCTGATTCTGCATTTCTCCCATTTCCGCTGTTCTTCTAATTGATACATATACTTTCTTCTTTGTGCAGTTTTGTCAAACTCGTCATGTATGAACGCGGCCTGAGCATGTGTAAAGTGCACGTTTGTTTGACCTGCTAGCGATCGATGACACGAAGGTGTGATCAATATAAGGCGTTATTTATCGTCCGGTGTCTTGTTTGAGTGTGGCGACATCGTTTTCGCGCTTAGGAGGGCGCGTACATAAACAGACGGCGACATTTCTGAGCGCGCGAGGTGAACGCGAGGGAATCACAACGGCGGGGGAGTCGCAGAGACTGTCACATCATCAAGGCTGACTGAGCGAGTTGTGTCGTGGTCGTGGTTGCGCAGAGATCGGCGACAAGGCAGGAACGCCGGTCTGTATGGCCAAGTACATCGCGCGGTCTATCAAGATAAGTCGGTATCAGGTGTCCGAAGAGAGATATAGATGGACAATCGACCGCGCCCAGGTCGAACGTGCGCGATCCAGATGAGTCACGATATGGCCCATCATATCGCGCTAAAACATGCGTTACGCGCGAGATATGCGTGATCATCGAGGGGATTCCGTTACTGAAGGCCTTTATGAGTATTCGGAATGTTTTCTGGAGGGTAAGGGAGAGCGTGCTGCGTTTGTGAGTTGTTTGTGGTCAACGATGCGGTGGCGCTATAGGTGAGAGATAAACAGAAGCAAACATTGAGTGGCGAGTGCGACGACAACTATTGGTGAAGGGAGAAAAAAAGATCGAGAGCACACTTGAGAACGAAAGGAATCGGAAACACAGAAAGAAGACCACCCACCAACAACCGGATATGTTGACCACCCATGCTTCGATGAAATCATCATCGCTATTTACCATCGAATCCCCCAGGGATTTCGTAGAATGAATATCCCCATGGAGACTATAAAAAGTTTCCCCAGATTTCCCGACGTTTTCATCTCGAAGAGAAATGCGTATTGCAGCCGTTTGAAAACGCTACATGTAAAATAGGGGGAATAAAGGATGCAAAAAGCTCTCACTAAATTTACAACGGCTAGTATGAAGTAAATGTCCTGTAAGTACGTACGATTATTGATTTGAATAAAGGATGCAAAAAGCTCTCACTAAACTTACAACGGCTGGTATGAAGTAAAGGTCCTGTAAGTACGTACGATTATTGATTTGTCGACACATAGCTGGTCTCAGGACATTTTTCGAACACGGAGCATTCCTCCTCTCTCCTTTTTCTTAACCCCCTCCTTTTTCTCCCTTGCATCTTTGTCTTCTTTCCTTCTCTCATTCTTCTTCCTTATTTTCCTTCCCTTTGAATGCTCGAACAAAAAAATGCAGTGAGAGAACACCTCTGGACCCTCACTGCATCCGATTGACAGATCCCTTCTAACCCACATAGCTAAGAACGCCGATCGATATTGCAGAAAAGCACAGTGTCGGTTGAGTGTGGTAGGACTGTATAAAATGTGGGGCGCAGTTTGGCTTGGGAAGGGGCGTGGGTTGGGACAGATTCAAAGGA